TTCATCATTCGTACTCGATGAAACATGATGCACTCACAAAAGACTGCTGTGTGGGCACTGTGATACCTTTCACAGTTGGAAACGGATATGTGAGTGAACTGAGTATGGGGCACAGAGAACGTGTGGACTGACCCAATTTAACCCCTTTAATCCCACTGTTTACAGATCTAAAGACACTTGCTGATTTAATTTGCAAAGAGTTGTCAACTATAAATGAAAGCAGACTGTTTTGAAAAGTCATGTGAATCTTTTACATGTCTGGTGTAAATAGTCACAAACCCAGAGCCATTTAATTCTTGTTTTCCCTTCTGAAAAAAATATGTCTGTCAAAACTTCACAAAAGAAAGCAATACCTACCTGTCCTGCCAACTAGCGTCATATAATATTATGTAAGGTCTATTATTAATTCAATATAAAAATAGATCTATATTCGTCATGCCCATAATACATACAAATTTCATTTCACTATTTGTGACAAGTGGGAAAACAGTCAACTGAGTGATTCTTTTTTGCATTTTCCACATAGTTGCTTGTTATAAAATATATTTAAATATTACAAAATAATGTGCTAAATTATTGTTCTCAATTCTCTTATGGGCAATTTTTGACCGACAAATTTTGACCAGAAAAAAAAAACACGCTTTCACTAACCATATTAAAAAACTTAAATACAAAAAATGTTGCACATTTAAAACTTCATCGTAACCATATAAAATAGAGGTTACGAGCGTACATTTTAATGATAATGCATTTGACCATTGAAAGTAACACACACCAATGGAAAAAAGAGCTGCTTGCTTACTCGCCACGGTGAGCGCGACAAACCAAAGTCCTGAAGCCATCGGAACTGCCATCTCACGAGCCTCCCCGTCCACACTTACGTCAACTGACAGACAAAGATCGTGCCTTTTAAAGATCCATTTTCCCCGTACACTACACGACAGTCCCTCCGAACAGATTTGGATACGAGACAATGAGGAATCCAGGCTTGTTATGCGCTCAGAGTGGCGCTTCTTACGCCGGAAGAGTTGTCCTGTTCCTTTTCAGTGATAATCGCCCACAAACACGTGCGTAATGATAAAAGATCTTTGGGATTTTCTTTTCTGCACGCGAACTGACTCACGCGCTCTCGGCAGACTGTGCGCTTCTCTTGCGCGCGCGGGAGACTTGACATCCGCAAACGCAATCAAGTCATGAACTTATGAGATAACAAGGCTTCTAAAACTTAAATACATTTCACAGTCCGTTTGTTTTCCCCATATGTCCAATGTCATTGATTTTAATGTCGTTTTAAATATTATAGCCAAGCATTTAGAGAGAGAGAGCAAGTGTTGGTGGCCTGGTGCGGTAATATAAGTTATGGTAATTACTCAACTGCACATGTTAAAAGGACTATAAATTGCCATGGTGTCTTGCATGGGCAATTGGCTAAGTGTGCGTCACGGGGGAGGAGAGTTTACTGGTTGTGTGTTCTGCACCATGAAGCATAAGACAACACTTCATTAAATAGCCTACATATAGTTGGTTGTTCACTTTGTCACATTATGGAAGACACTGGCATCCAAACTTTCCAATATCATATTTTTTTGCTATATCTGCTGAGTAAACAGGAAAAACCATAAACCCACAATGTCATACATTCAGACAGGAGTCAACTAAACAAGGTAGGCCTACTTCTATGAGCAGTTTGTCACACGAGTTTTATAAGTTGCAGGTCAAAACATTCGTTCAATATTTTTCACTGTTATTTTTGCCGTTTCATTCTGCATTTCATAATTGTTTTCCTTTTTAAATGTTGCTGAATTGCCTATAATAGACTGTTTAATAGCAGGTTGTTATAGTGACAACTTACCCCATGTAGTGTGACGCTAGTCAACATGTCAAATAAACAGCATCATTTTGGTGGCCAATAACGAAGGAAATAATCCCAAAAATTGTAGTCAAGACTTTAATATGCCACTACAGAAACTGACTTTCAGTTTGCAGCTAAATTAAAGTTTTATTTGCAAGTACTGATAGTGTGCGGGAGTTCCTGTTTGTAGAATTAAACCTAAGAAATCACTGTAAAAGAGTGATTGCCCAATTCTTGCCAGTCACTTTTTTGTGTCTCTGGTTAATTGTTGTCTTCATCCATAGACGAGAGCTTAGTGTCAAGTTCCGAATGAGGAGAGCTTATTGCAGTTTACTGCAGTTTTTCATAAAATAGCTGCTCTCTTCAAAGGATAAATATATAGCTAGACAAGCATTGTTTCCTTAATTAACTTTCGATGAACTTAATTAACCATGAAAACCCCAATCACGCAGGCAAATTAATCTCTCACACATAAAATCTCACGGGGAAAGACATCACACAAAACGGCGCAAAGCAGTGGACCCTTGAAGCGAGATATAAGGCAGAGACCTGACGTTATAGTCCTAGCACAGGACAAAATAGGACTCCTGTTTTCCCACAAACCCTGTGCAGTGTGAGAGAAATCAAGAAAGCATGAGAAGAATGAGGGAAAGGACAAGGGAGATTTGTTTGTGTGGAGGCAAAAGGAGGCTTTAAGGACAGTGTTTCTACAAAGTGCATGGCTATGATCTTTAAACTCCCTAGCCGTGCATGCATGCACAAACACATACTTCAAGGCTCTCTCACTCAGCCATGACCAAATGTTACAGCCATCAGTGTTGGGCAAATGGCTGTTAATTTAATTTAGTCTGAGTGAAAGAGGATCTCACATAATGTTACCTGATACAAACAGAAATAATTAAATACACAAACAATGCACAGCCTTTCTTTTGTTTAAGGACATATATCAGAGATGTATTTTCTGGGACCGACAGTAACAATGTAAAACAGCTTCTCGAACAAGAACAAGAAAATGTAGGGCTAGACTTGATTTTCTCCTATGGGAATTGATTGGATCGTTGTGGTTTACTATTGCTGTCATATAATGTGAGTGACAGGTTGTAAATGCATGTGTCTGCATACACATAAATATACCTACACAGACATTCACTGCTATATTGCCCTTTACTGACTGTCTGCAGCACTGTGTGGTTAGCCATCCCGCTCATGCTCCAATTCCCCCATTGGAAGGTGTTTGGGGACTGAAGCAGACTGCAGTATAAAGATTTAAACGCTAAACTGACATTAGCTCACCATTCTGATGCCTTATGTTTACACATCAAAAGCACTCATCCATGGACTTTCAACATGTTCCAACTTCCAACACAGCATTTACTATACCACATATCCAAGATAAACCACTTTACTCTTCAGCATCTGTTGGCTGATGGTTACTCACTTCAGTCATCTGATCTCCAGTGGGTGAAATTTGCTCCATTCATTCTCTGCTTGGGCTGAAATACTAGCCAAACGTATCAGTCTGAGAAGAAAAAAAATATATTTAAAATAGTCTCTACATAATATTAAAATGAATTGCACACAAACCTTTCAAACACAGTGTAAACAAATATTGTTGGTTTAACTTAAGTTAATACAACGAAGGAGATTAGTTTAATCAACAGAAACTCAAAAGATATGATCTGAACCACATTAATTATCTAAGTTGATTTGACAAAAGAAAAAAAGTGATAAATCATGAAGATATATTTTTTTTTACAGTGTAGCCACATGAAATAAACAAATAAATACTCACTTACATATACTTGCTTGTTTGAAAATCGAACTGAACAATGTAGGCTACAATGATGATTGCAGTTTAAAGTTCATTCCTCACTTTTAGTCTTGGAGGCTTACACATTCTTGCCAATAACCAGGCCAAACATTTACCAGCCGTAGATCACTATTCAATCAAAACAATCTTAGCAACTATCATTGTAAGAAATCTAATGCTAGCCTCTAACCCTTTTGTAACAGGTCAACTATTTTTTAGTTGGGAGCTAAAAACATACCAAGTGTAAGATCTGCTAATAATAACCAAACCATGACATGTGAATAATGTGCCTGATTTGGAAGACTGCTACAGGCAATTATGAAAGACACGGGGGAAAGAAAAATCTACCTAAAGCGTGATAAAACAACATAATATGGATTTTTACGAAGAAGACGAATTTCTGCACAATCATAAGCAATTAATTTAACTTGCACGCGGTCACATCATTGCGTGGCACATTCACGTCTTTGTCTTATAGCGCCACCTTGTGGTGAAACGTTGTTACACTGTCCCTGACCAAAACTTCCTTCCAACGAATTGAACGAAAAAAATATTATTATTATTTTTTAATTCTTCATTTCCCAGACAGTGAGGATAAACAAGGATTTAGATTTTGTTCTTAACATCCTGCTGCTGTCACTTGGGAAGTTTTTAGATACGTGCAGATGCTTTGAATTTAAGCCCAACTTTAACCAGTGGGAGAGTTAGCCTAACTTAGTAAAATCACTGAAACTTATTAAAGACGAGAAAGCCCTTAAGTTGATTTCACTTTTGGATAAGTATAAGCTCATTTGAAAATGGGCCACCATTTATTTATTTGTTTGTTTGTTTGTTTGTCCTTCAACATATTTCAACCGGATAGAGATGATTTATTTATATTTTAGATGTAGCATGCATTTGTTTGTTAATTTTTAAAGAATTTGATTTAAAACAAAATAATTCCAATCAAATATTTAACATTAAAAACTATTCAAGTAACAATAAATACTACCTCCATTGATAAAACTCTTTTTGCTATGCTGTTATGCGTATACTTTGTTTTATTGCTTGTTCCACAATGACTTTTGTTTAGCCTACTGCGTGAACCCTTTAGAGTAATTTGCAAGTATTTAAGTTTTATCAGAATCAATTCAAACGGACTAAACGGAGAACAATATTTTTTCCTCTATTTTTTTTTTTTTTTTTACTTTTATATATGTATGTCCATTTAAATGTTATATTTATAGCTTTCCCAGACTAGATGCCAGTCCTTTATCTTGGTATCGGGACTTCCTGTCGGGAAAAGACTCCACTGCACCATCCTCACCCTTCAGTTCACAAAACTTTGCCAACTCGCAGTCTCGCACTCCAATCAGCAACTTTTCCTTCAGCACTCTACATCGAAAAATCCTGTCGCCAGCCAGATCCGCTGGGAAAACAAAAGCAGAAATGTCCCCTCCATCCGAACGTTTGCAAACCAAACCCGTGATAACGTGTCTGAAGACATTTCTCATCTCGTACAGTCTTATTTTCTGGGTGAGTTTGTGTTTTCATCAGCTTTGCGTTAGCTTGAGGCGGCTACATCTGCACAGCTAACGTTAACTCTGAACAATGGGCTCAGCCAACTAACAAGTCTTACTCTTAGTTTGATCCTAATTTAGACTTTAACTAGATACGTTTTTCTTTTACAAAAACAAGATGCCATTCTAGGTTTTAATTAGTTGTTTATTTACTTCTGATTAGCAAAAGACTTTGCATAAATCCAGTCGACGACCTTTTATTGTTTACCGGCTTGTTTAAGATGTGTCGATTAATTGTATGTTTTTCCTGCATTTTACATTTTATATATCAAAAGTATAGAGTAAAACATAATTTTAGGAAACAAGTTATAATTTATTCCAGAGGAAGATCTATGAAACTTCAGCCTTTTTGTACTTTGGGAAGTAACGTAACGTTAACGGTCACAGCTGTTTTGATCGATCTTCAAATATATTGATCTATTAAAATGTTCAATAAGGAAACTGATACAAATAATAGTTAATCAAACGTGTCCCAAATGGGTGCGAACTAGTCCGATGCAGCACTTTTATCTCGCCTATTTATTGCTTATCACGGTGATTTTCAGCAGGCAGGGGACAGATGGTCATGTTTACAACCCCCGCTGAGAAAGGAAAGTGGATAAAGAAAAGTAGACGCAATCAGTTGCTTACGGTCGAAAATTTAACCCCATTTTTTTCTATGCATTATAAAACTATATTTTTAGCCAAATACATAAAGTGTATTCACGTTAAGAAACTATATACTAACAAATCTCAAGTGCTTGATTGTTTATAATCGCAAAATGTAAACTTTATCACACAGCACTCTATATAAGGTTGGGTATAAAAGTTTACCCACACACAATATATGTACATAACGCAATGTATAGCAAATCTCGACGGCTTGATTTGTTTATAGTGTTGCAAAATGTATAACTATTATAGGCAAGCTCTAATCTGCTAAATGTGACATTAATACCAACATCATGATTTTTATCAAGAAAAGCACTACCCAATACATTTTTACTTTACTTGGCTTTTATTTATTTTGACCAGTTTCTAAATAGGTCAAGGAGGCTTATATTTGCTAACAACAGTTGTCAGGGATCTTGAGCATTCCCAGATTCCCTGTTTTTATTTAATTAAGCTGAAATTACAAGGTTGCAAGGGTGTTATCAAGAATCAGGATGTGCAAGACACAGTGCCGTAATCCCTCGGGCAAATCCATAAACACGTTTTGAATATGTCTAAGAGTTTTTAACTTTATTTGTAGTTCACAGGAGTGATCCTGTTGGCTGTTGGAGTATGGGGAAAGGTTAATTTGGAGTTCGACCTCCTGCTGAGTTCAGACAAGGGCACTAATGCACCATATGTCCTCATTGGGACCGGAGCCATCATCATTATCTTCGGATTGTTCGGTTGCTTCGCGACCTGCCGTGGAAGTCCATGGATGCTAAAGCTGGTACGTTCTAAAATAAATAAAACAAGTTTCATATATGTGAAAAAAGTTGGAGCACATTTTATGAATAGGGTACACTTTGATGGCTTAAGTGATAATTCTCTTATATGACATAAAATTGACCTACCAAGAAAAATGCACGTAATGTCCCCTTTAAATGGTCACTTCAACCTACAAACCTGTTAAAAAAAACTTTTTTCTTTTTTTATTACTGCCTGCAGACCATAGACTGAAGAAAAGAAAAACTTCCACTTCCTTCCACTATAGAAAAATGAAGCCAAAACATTCCATAAATAACCGTTGACATGTTGCACTGATTACATCATTTGGAGCCTGAGTCTGCGCAGTAGTGATCCTGAGGTGGAGCCGCGGTATCAAGGTCCCGCACATACTCCCCCTCCCACAGATTCAATCACAAGCACAGCTGTAAATTGTTACACCTGGTTTTTATAACATTACTTACTAAATCGAACACTTGAACATGCGTCAGCGTGATACTACCTAAAATGACAGAAACCGTCTTTAGAAGAAAATATTTGAAGTGTAAATATTTTTTTTTGGTCTCATTCAATTACATGGAGAGGGCTGGGTTTATGACCTATATTGCAGCCAACCACCAGAGGGCGATCAAAATGTTTTGGCTTCACTTTTCCAGATGTGTGCAGAGACCAACATTTTTTTTTTTTACAGTCTATGGTGGGTGAACGTGATTTCACCAAGTACCACATGTTCCGGGATCAACATCTTTGTTGATCCTGGATCAACTTTCCAATCAACCAAGCAGATTTGAGGGACAAGTTTACAGTTTATGTCAAGTTTAGGCTTAGAACCCGGGTGAAGTACTTAAACATCAGTGCTATTCACCTTTCATTACCCTCTGATTTTAGGGAAAAGTTATGGGTAGGGTTAGGTTTAGGGGTAGGGATTGGGTAAGGACTACATTTTGGGACAGGAATGTTGATCCAGGATCAACAAAATATGTTGATCCAGGACCATGTCTTACTTGGCAAAATCACGGTGACTGTCTAGGGTGCAGACCAACATTTGGTCACAGACTAGCTAGCCCTACTGAGTGACAGCTTAATTTAGTGTTTATATATATATATATATAAATTATGGTTTTGTCTGTCCTGAGACCCTGCGGCCTCTTATGAGGACATTACATTTTTGCCTCTTGACACAATGATAGTCAAATTTGTAAATCTTAGACATGTTGGCCACATTTAGGGGCACTGCCCACACCATCTTGTAGTGATATCACAACATTACACCAATGTCAGTGAGAAGAAAATGACCCTAACCCTAACACTTCTACACCAGTTCCCGAAAGAAAAATGACCCAGGTAAAAAATCTATTCAAATTATATGAATGAAACAAATGTATCTATGTACAATACTGTCTCTATCATCATATGGGGATTAAAATTTGACATATTTTAGTAATAGTAGCACTCTAGGACATCAGTGAATATGAAGTACTCGTTTGAGGACATTGGGACTATATTACGTTATCCCCTTAAGTTAAGTGTCACCGTCCCACGTGGGACGTTTGCCCATATATATTTAGAACAATAATATCTTAGTAAAAACCTAAAGTAATATTGACAAACTAAATATCATTTGAAAGCTTACAATCTCTAGTTTTCATATTTGGTGGCTGTTTTTTAAAATAAATTACAGAATAGCAGTAATTTATCAATTTGCAACAAGAATATTTCATATTCATTAGGCGTGTTTAGGCCTTTATTTTGAAATAGAAAAAAAAACATGAAAAATCATGAAAGATTGGTAGAAACCTCAGTTTGTTTTCATGCCAAGAGTTCAAAAGATAACACTAATTAAATGTTATGAGAAAAAAAGGTCTGAATTTTTAGAATATAAAGAAATATATTACGATTTCTCGATTTGTGATGCAGCAGCGAGCTATAATGCACATATGTGCTCTTTTTATGTTTATTAGAGGTTGAAATCAAATCAAATACTGCCAAAACACCCATACTATTTCTGAATAGGATGTATACTTAATAAATTGTATGAAATTATGGAAAGACATGGTTCAGATCACTCAAAACATATGAAAATGGAGACACCCTTATATGGTCAGTAAGGAAGCTGGCTGTCCATCTAGTGAAAAAGTTTGGTACTACGCCCAAATAAAATCTTACTGAAAGCTCATTTTCTGAGATATCAACCTAAAATTTGGAACACAACTTGTTTAGATTTTTGGCTTTAATTTTCTAGCAGTTTTAGAGTAAAATATATTTTATAATATATATATTTTATATAAAATATAAATAATTATATTTTTACATTCTATATTTTCATAAACTCAAACTTATATAACTTTTTTTCTGTTTCACTTTCATAATTTATTTCACTTCTACAATAATCTGGCAAATGTCTTCTTAAAAACAAGACCAACCATATGTCTATATTCCAAAGCATTCTTGAATTACAACCATTTTACAACCACAAGTTTTTTTTTTTATTGCTAGTACTGTGTCCTCACACGAGGACATCATATGGTAAATCATAGACCCACTGTCCTCACATGAGGACATCATTTTCTGCAAAAACTACTTCCTGTACAAAAACAAATTTTAGTTATTATATTTATTAGGTCCTACTTATCCCAAATAGCAAGAACAATTATAAAATGCACACCAGGCAAACTCTCGGGTCTCAGGAGGTTAACTTTGGTAAAAGAGGTGGAAAAATTTCAAGCCTCGTATAAAATGAATAGAAATCAAAACGGTGTATTTAGTTTGACGATTGACATTTTCTGAAAGATCTGAATATTTTTAGATATCCAGGCTGTATTTTGTTGAAATTCTATTTATTGAAAGTGCATTGTGTTTTCAATCAACATTATTGTTAATTGTTTTTAAGCATGTTCCCTTTCTCCCTCCTCTCTTGTAGTATGCTATGTTCCTGATTCTTGTGTTCTTAGCCGAAATAGTGGCAGGTATATCTGGCTTTATTTTCAGACATGAGGTAATTAATTTTTTTTACCTTTACATATTCATATGCCATCTGTTATCTACAGCCAAATAATTTTTGTACTCTTTTTAGATTAAAGCAGTGCTTAAAGATGGCTATAAACGTGCTGAATTAACCTACACTGGTAAAGACACTGAAGATCTGGACCGGATCCAGAGAACAGTAAGCATGTATTACTGGAAGCAGTACAAAATTAGGAATTGTTCGATACCACTTTTTCATGTAACCATGAGTATAGATGCCTATCTCATACCAGTACTATATATATATGTGTGTGTGAGAGATATAAAGTCATAACAAAAAATAGTTCACAATTACCTATCATACCTATTAATGTGATTTAAAATAAAATCACATTAAGCTATATCTGATTTGTTTATTTTTTTAAACTTATTGCTTATTGTTTATTGTTTATTGTTCCAGTGAAAATCTTATATCCAGCAATAATCTTGTACAATAAAAATTAAGTGAATGTGAGTTTACATTTTTACATGTGGTAAAAATCTTAATTTAAAAAAAAAAAATACTATTACAAATTCAAATTACTATTTGTGCTACATGTATGAAAAATCCTATGAACAATTTATTTGTGATGGTTATTACTACATGAATTTACATATTATAAAAAGCATTTCTTTGGAATGTATGGCACAGAAATAAGACAACAGACATGATAGAACCAATATATGGGCTACACATGAACAAATATATAGGCTACACATGAAAGTCTTCAATGCAGAGCGGCACAAAATCACTTTTGTGCATTCTGGCCTCATGATGATGCTTAAAGCAAACCTAAGTGTACATACATGTACCATTTACGGTGAAAGCATGTAAAAGCACATTTATGGTGCTTTTATAATACTTACAACCAAAACAGTAACAACCATTATGCACAGTATTGAATTTGGATTGGTCCCATGGTCTGACCGATACCCGATTCAACAAAAAAAAAAGGTCTGTGTCAGATTGGCACGTCTCTATACAAAACATCAGGACTAACATAAAACTTCCCTAATCTGCTTAAATGTTTTGAGGAGCGTAATTCAACATTTTGTTCTTCGTAGCTGCAATGCTGTGGAGAGAAGAACTACACCAGCTGGGAAAACACTGATTACTTCAAAATACACGGCATCCCCAAAAGCTGCTGTAACGTGACTGCTGGTGTAAACTGTACATCTGCAGAACTTACAGATCTTAAAACAGCTGCATCAGTGGTATATCAGCGGGTAAGAACTGTTTCTGAATACTCCTAAATCAACAAAATCATTAGCCTTATTTGCAATTCTGGAATAAAAAAAAATGCCTCCTGTTGTTAGGGCTGCTTCGCTCTGATGACTACAACGATGGAGGCCAATCTTGGTATTATTGCTGGAATTTCTTTTGGAATTGCATTCTTCCAGGTACTAGACAAGCCCAGTTATTGTTTTAAATGTTTCTGGTCTGTAATGCACCTAATAATGTCTTTTATGTGACATTCAATTCCTCAGCTCATTGGGATATTCTTGGCATGCTGCCTGTCTCGCTATATCACCAACAACCAATATGAGATGGTGTAGCGATTCTCCTCCACAGGTACATTTTCTTACTCTTCCCTGTAGGGTGTTCTTTTTGAAATGCCACAATTTTGTGTTCTATTACATGTCATTTTAGTAATTATTATTATTGAACAAAATGCATTACTAGGTTATTATCTAGGGGTTCTTATTCTCACTTCTGTCTGTTTACAGGGTATCATCTGCAGATCACAGAGGGCTGAACATGACACAAAGGGAAACCATTTAGTTTCAGTGTTTTGTATGTGTGCCTTAGCTAAACATTTCATTTTAGAGGATTTGTGACTGCTTTTTAAAGAATATTTCTTGTTGGTTATTACATTGAAGGGAAATGACCCATTCCAAAGGGATAAGATTGTTTTGCATTTGTGTTGCCCGAGTGTAAATGTAATAGTGTTTAGATATACAGATGTTTGTAGAAAGTGCATATGTTTTAAACCAGTGTTAAACCAGGAACACACAGTCAGTTATGAAGTAAACAGTGTGTTGTACACCTTGACTTTTGTTTCATTGGAATTAACACATGCTAAAACTTTGCATCTAGTAAACACATTTGTAACCTTTCTTGCATACAACCTTAAAGTTCAACATTTTCCAAAAAGGATGTTTTGAAAATGACCTGATAGTAATTTGGGTCATTAAGGTGTTATCCACTTCACATGTTACATATGGAGTTCTGTTTATCATCACCAGTTCATTTTCAAGAACTAGTTTTAATACATGTATGTCCATTTCTATTTGGACTGCTTTGAAAATTATGTGTTTTTTTGCAATTTCTTTGCTGTCTTTATTAATGTAGCAGTGATAGTGTTTATTATAAGGTTGTTGAAAGTCATGGCTGTAATGCGCTGAACAGAAAATGTGGAGTGTCTCTTTAACTTTGTCTGTGAAATGTGAAATCTGTTGTCGCTCTGGTTGATCAGGTAACAATATTTAACATGTACATAAAAGGCTACTACAACTATCAAAATTATCCATGCCAGGGTTGAAAAGTATTTAAATCATCCTTGCATTTGTAAGGAAAGTAAGGTAATGTATAATCCAGATTATGTTTGGAACTATTCTTTTCTCAGCATATGTCAGCATATTCATGCTCATTCATTTTTGTCATAAGTCAGAGAAACCACCCTCTGCGCTTTGTCAGTTAGTGGATTTATTTTTGAGCATGTGCACGTCAAATACTAAAGATATTTATATCTTTGTAAGACAACATTTTCAACAGCCTTTTCGTATGTTTGTTTTTTTATTTTTCATTTTTGCAAAGCAAACTGTATAATGCATAGGAATAATAAACTCTTTTTATATGCGCATAGGCTTCAGACGTAGAGTCACTAGATGACGCTATTGGTTTGTTTTTTTAACCTGTACTCTGCATGCATGGTTCAGAAGAACAGAGGAAGACTTTAATATAAAGAAATGTTAGTAGCTAGCTAGCCTATTACTATCACTAATAATGAAAACACAGCAAAGTTACTGTAGTAGAAATAGTATTTTTAAAAGAAGGTCGCATTCTTGATGAACGACTATACTGGGGAAATATTAGTTTGTGGGTTATCTCACTATTTCTTTAATCACCACGAGCAATTTTAAATTAAAACTGTTCACTGCGTTAAGAGTACTACATGTAAAGAGGTTGTATTTTGTAAAAGATAACGACAAACATGGATGTGGATGAAAAGCAGGCGCTTGATTGGTTCGATGCCCTGTCAATCACTTGCATCGCGGTATAATCATTGGACATGAGGCTTCCCCGCCTGACGTCAACAGTATAAAGTTTGTCGGTCTCCCCCTGCACCCGCAGAAGAAGGGAACTTTCTTCTCTATTGGAACGATATAAAGCGTTGGGAACTTAGTCAGTCTTTTGTAGTTTATTATTGGGCTATACCAGTCAATTACCAGGTTTCAATCAGGTAAGTCAATTGCATCCTTTTTTAGATTTATTGTCTTTGCAAGGTCGGTGAAGCGATGCTTGTCTCCTGTAACGTTAAAATTTGAAACGCAAGGTTCTTTAGTAGTGTTGCGTTGTTCTGTACTAACTTACCGGTTTAATATCTGAAAATCTACAATATCAATGCAATATGTCCATCTGCACTAGCGACGCGAATAACTAAAACTAATTTTTATTTAGAGAACGAATCGTTCATTTTAGATCGCTGTTTTACAATGACTCGATTGAACCGCTTAAACCCGGAACGAAATGGTCGCTCTGAATCTTTCTGCGTGGTTCTCTGGTGAAAATACGCCGAGTTGGTTTCATTTAAATCGCGCTTTATTCAAACGTTTTAACGCCTTTCTACTGAAACGTAAATTAATTCGTGTTTAAAATAAATGCAAATTAGATTTCATATTTCGAGCTGCATCATGGCTGCAACAAACTGAACTAGGGCCCGTTAAACTACAATAAACTGCTTTATTGTACTGTTTTAGAGCATTTAATGGGCAATACTGGTATGTCAGGGACAATGTCATGCCGTAACTTTATGACCTAAAAGAATCAGTTTATCACACGTCGATTTATAATGGTTTTAGTTGCAAGAGATTATAGCATTGAGTTTACACTTCGTGCATCGCAATGCGTTTTGAAGTTCTGAATGTTTCACCTTTTAATTTCAGCTTTGCCATGATGCAGCTCAGCAACGACACACACTGCAACAAGCACTCGCTGCTCAACGTCATGAACCGGTTCATCGCCGCTGCCAACAACATGGACGAGACCATCATGGTGCCAAGCTTACTGCGGGACGTGCCTCTGGAGGACCAGGACAGCCAAGCCTCTGTTAGCCACAACAACAACGACCCCCCTTTCCCCAGCAAACAGAGGGATATGTATGAGCACTACCTGCTGGTGAAGTCTCTTAAGAACGACATGGAATGGGGCCTGCTGAAGAGGGAGATGGGTGGTGGTGCCAGCTTTCTAGAGATGGCAGTGAAGCAAGAAGAGCCACCACAGGTGAACGGAGGAGCCGCGGAGGAGGGCTCCGATCTGGAGGGCCAGTTCCACTACCACCTCCATGGACTGTTTGCTGTTCTGTCCAAGCTCACGGTCCAGGCTGACCATCTCACAAGTCGTTACAAGAGAGAAATTGGCGGAGGTAGCCTTTTGCGATAGGATTGATTCGTTAACATCTAATGGACAATTTATGAACTGTTGGACTGGGAAGTGAATGTGCAGCAGAGGACTTAAAGGGCTCTAGATTCCCCTCTGCCATCAAAAGGGGTTTTACCCAAATTAGTTGTCACGTTGCTTGTTTTGGCAGTCTCTGGTGCTTTCAGGAAGTTTCCACTGGAAGTTAAAGGGCTATGAGAGTAAGGTTGTTTTTTTTGTTTGTTTTTGTTTTTTAACTTAACATTTCAGCATCGTGAATCTATTCCAGCTAGTTTTGGGTTTCGTTTTTTTTAAATCTCTGTATGCCAAGTCAGAAAGCCCTTGACATTTGTCATTTTGAAGCTGTAGAAGAATGTGAATGCTGGTAATTCAGTTCTTCATATTAGCCAATTTGCCTTTTTAATGAGGGGGGTTTTATGCATTGATGCTGCTCTTGTGCACTTGTCCATGTGTCATGGCGTGCCTTCTGTCTTCACTTCCCACTTGTGCTGTTCAAGTATGTGTGCTTGTCATGCATTGTTTCCTTTTGAACAGGACCTATTTGAGTCCGTAATGCCACTGGTTTTGTTTTTTGTTCTAAAAGATTTCAAGTTTTATATTGTGCTGTTCTGTAATATAGTGACTTATAAATAAAGTATTAACTTAAACTGTCTCAATGCACTGTCTTCCTCCGTGGCTTCTCTCAAGTGCAATAAGATGCCAACATTTACCAGCGGGCTGGGTCAAATATCTAATCCTGAATGGAGTTAGTGAGTGTCTGCTAATCTGGTTTCGTAAGAGTTGCATTGTGTGACGACTGTTTTGCAAAGGCAGGTTTGAGCTTGATTTCATTAAAGGTGTTCTCTTGTTTGTAACGTCTTGAGGGGGTGGTAAATTCTGCTACTCAAATTTGCAAAAGGAGTGTAAACCAACAGTTTTTGGTTACTGACTTTTTGTCTGTATGGATATTACCAAAATTTCTCAAGTTCTATAGAAGTCAAACAAGTTTATAACTAAATGAATGTGAGTGATAATTCATTTTTGGCCAAAGTATCTTATTCTCCATTCTCAACCGTTTTGACTCCCCTTAAAATACATGAAAACCAGTGTCGTAAACGCTAATGCAGACAATTCCTTGAGACATGACATAATTCTTATTGGTTCAAAGTGTATTAGACCCATATAAAAATGTCTGATTGAGCTTATCAGTTCATGACCTTAATCGAATTAGGAATGTATATCTAGTCCTTTAAGACAGTTTTAATCTTCAGTTCTCATATGTTTTGAGTGTTTGAAACTCAATTACATCTCAAAAGATGTAAGCCTTGGTTTCACAGGCAGGGCTTCGATTAAGCCAGGATTAGGCCTTAGTTCAATTATGACATTTAGGTAGCATGTCTTTGAAAAAGAAACCATTACTGGTGTCCATCTTGAGACAAAACAATGGCACTGACATGTTTTAAGATATGTCTGTGCAAGTTGCTTTTAGTTAAAACAGCTCAAATATGTGTTTTAGACTGGGGCTAGGCCTAGGCATAAGCCTTGTCTGAAACCTAGGGGGTGATGTTTAAGAAGTTATTTTTGCATTTCCCTATCATGCATTTTATATTCCTGACTTTATCCTTTGTGATTGGATATTGACTTTCTGATTTTGAAAACCCTCTCACCTTTCTTAACCAAAGTTGTGTTTTCATCTTATACTAAACATTCACTGAGCCATGAACAATACAATAATCTAACCGCCCAAGCCACAATCATGGTAGCACCCATCCTTTGAAGTAATGTAGGTGCATAGAAACAAAGAATAGACAAAAGCAAAGCAAATCTGAGAATCGCCGTATATATTAAATATCAAAATGGCTGCTGTAGCTACAGAGGGGCATTATGGTATGTCAGACCAAGTGTAGTCCAACGATCTGACCATTCATGTGAAATAGGTCAGCGTGAGATGCGCAAACTGCCAGGCGGTCAAAGGAACAAATCTGCATGATGCATAAACTAGCAACTAAATAAGGGATTTGCAGTTGTCTTAAAATGTCATTTTGAGGCTTGAACGAACATGTAACATTTTTTAAAAAGGCATTTATGTCGTTTCATCCACCCAGAGAGCATATTTACAGGATCCACATACTCATGTATAATAGAGAATGTAAAGGTTATTATGCTGTGGAAAAACGTTATCTAGCCTATATATGATAGTGCTGTCAAAGCAATTAATCGTATCTAACTTAAAAGTTTGTGTTTATATAATATGTGTGTATATATATATGTGTGTGTGTATATACTGTACATATACACACACATGTATTATATAAACAGAATTTTTATATATATATATATATATATATATATATATATGTTAAATTTGCTTAAACAAGATTTCCTTTTTGATGTGCACAAACTGTTTTATCAGGGATATGCAACCGTGACAGACTGGCATGACGATAAAACCATCATAAATCATAAAGGGACTCGTAAAAGCATAAATCAGTTTCTAAATGTTTGGCTGGATCAGCTCTTCCCCATGCCATGGTGCATTGAGCGACTACGTGATAAGGCAATCCAGACTTGGCCGGGCACATCCAGTCTTCTGGATGATATCTAGCAGCTGCCCTTTTACGTGGTCCAGAGCGTCTTGGAACCCGCAAGGGAACGTTGCTAAACAAATCTAATGCTGGTGATCAGATTTATGGTATGGGTCAAACTGATTTAAACAGATTATTTATATATATATATATTTATTTAAAGGCTGACAAGCTAAAAACTTGAATCAATCAAAATTGATATTAAAATGATAATAAAATTAAATAATACATTTAAACCTTTCCCGTATGAGAGAGAACCACTTGGGACGAACCGATTCAGTGGAATGAATCAGACTTGTAATTGTACACGTAAGAGAGGACCGTTTATGATGAACCAATTCACTAGAATTAATCAAACTTTTCAACAAGAGATCGAGGTTAATTTAGATGAGCATGTCTACTTGTTACAGCTATACACTTTTAAGGCCAATTCACACTGCACAGACAAACGCCAACAAATCAGGTTTTGTCGGATCAGTGTGTTACCCCTATCGGCGTCTGTTGCCGTTGGTCGGGGTTTGTTTTCACCTGACTGAACATGTTCAATCAGCATTTGTCTCTTCCTGTTGGCGCAGTGTGAACATGACAGTTCTTTTTCAAAAAATTCTAAATCCAATGGCCAACTTGTTTGTTGGCGTTTGTCTGTGCCGTGTGAATTGGCCTTTAAAAATAAAGGTTCTTTTTTTGGCATTTAAGGTTCCATGAAGAACCTTTAGAATCCATGGAACCTTTCCATTGCAAAAGGTTCTTTAGAGTGGAAATGGGTTCTTTAGATTATTAAAATGTTCTCTACACTAAGAAAAAAATGGGCTTTTTAAGAACCTTTCACTGAAAAGGTATTTGGGGAACTAAAAATGGTTCTTCTATGGCATAGCTGAGAAAACCCCTTTTTGGAACCTTCATTTTTAAGAATGTAGCATTTAATCAAGCTACTCAATGAAAAAAGAAGCATGTTACTTGACAAGGTACACTAAACAGTTTAAATGAATAGTTCAGCCATGAAACTCTATTCGATTTCTCTATTTGATTTTCCACAGACAGACAAACAATTTTACATATCTATTACTACTTCCCTTTATAACCACGATGTATCCAAAAGAATGCACTCTGCAGGCTATGCAAATTCTTGTTCTAGTCCTCCGCCTCCCCAGCACCACCTGCCTAGATCTGCTATGGGGGTCCCCCTCTCTCTAGCAGCAGGAGCTTGTTTCCATTCATTTTATGTTCTGAGCATTTAGCGGAAGCAAGCTGTACTTGCTCTGCAACAGCAGTACAATAGCTATAGTCCACCAAGACCAAATCTATGTACATTCCATTTAAATTAATAAAATGTTTATAAAGAGAGTCATGAAAAAACTACTGTCGTAAGTGAAAGGCGTAGTAACTGTACAGTTGTAGTCAAAATTATTCAACCCCCATTGCGAATCAGGCTTATTGGCAAAATTTACAGACTTTCAGTTGTTTGCAATGAACAAATCAAACAAAAGTCATTAAAATAGCTCAACACAACAAATGCCTCAAGTGGTTTGCCCAAATTCAACTGAAAATGCTACTTTTAATGACTTCTGCAGGTTAAAAATTATTCAACCCCTTCATGGCAAGCATCTTTAGTACTTAGTAGAACACCCTTTTGCTATTATGACCTGCTGCAAACGAGATGTATAAGCAGACACCAGCTTCTGACAGCGTTTCTGAGGAATCTTAGCCCATTTCTCATGAGCAATGGCCTCCAGCTCAGTAATATTCTTGAGTTTGCGTGCGGCACCCGCCCACCTTCAAAACCCACCAGAGATTTTCTATGGGGTTCAAGTCAGGTGACTGTGATGGCCACTGTAGTATCTTCCAGGACTTCTTCTGCAATCAAACCTTGGTGGAATTTGAGGTATGCTTGGGGTCATTGTCCTGTTGGAAGGTCCAATGATGCCCAAGCTTCCGCATTCCTCACTGACTGCAGGACGTTTTCTCCTAGGATTTCCTGATATAGAAAAATTAACCCATCTTGCTGCAGGTTTCCGGTGCCAGAGGATGCAAAGCAGCCCCAGAGCATCACAGAGCCACCATGCTTAAGGCCGCGTGTCCACCAAAGCGTTTTTTTATGCGCCTGGTGTATTTTTTTCAATAGTTTTTAATGGGAGCGCCGCGTTTTTAAAACGCCATGAGCGTAATGAGGCGCTGAGCATTTTTTTCACGCTGAAGCTCTGAGCGCTGTATGAAACAGTAAGTATGAAACAAATTATCTGTGAAATCAGTTACAAGTAAACTGTACTGCGGATATTCTGCATCATAGCAAAGAAGCATCTCAACTGAAACGCTGCGCTGCCAAAACGCTCTCAAGCGCTCACAGCTAGGCGTTTTCAGCTGGCTAAAAACGCTTTGGTGGACACACGGCTAACTGTAGGCAGAGTGTTCTTTTCAGCATATGCTTCATTCTTCTTCCTCCAGACATACCGCTGATCCATAGGGCTGAAAAGTTCCACGTTTTGTTTCATCGCTCCACAGAACAGAATCCCCACTTCTGTGACTTATTTATATGATT